AAAAATATTATTGTATTGGTACTATAAGAGACTAATAAACATATTCTTGTCTTTTTTTTTATTTGTACTATGTCTTGATATAATAATTAATTCAAATATCAATATAAAAAATCCAATGACAATCTTGCAGCGGGACAATGGAGTATTTATTTTTCTCTAAATTCTCTTATTAATTAACGAATGAATGAGTGTAGTTTTTATTTTGCACAGCACACCTCCAATGACTAGGACTTATGAGGCAATGGCTGCGTGACTTTTGTGCCGTCATTTTTTATTTTACTATGTGGAATCTCATTACCCTAAATAAGATATACTTCTCCGTATTTAAATTTAGGAAATATTTTGAGGGTGTGTTTTGTTTTGTGAAATAGTTTAAAATTTTTATTTCAGGTAGATAATATAAAAATAATAAATATATATGTGTTTGTTTAAAAGATTTTGACAAAATTTTATTATTTATTTAAAGTTTTTCCCCCAAAAATATCAAATCAAACACCTATTTTTCATTTTTTATATTATGCTAAAAATCAATTTTACATTCAAAACATTACATTCAAATTCAAATTTTTTGCTCTCCCCAAAGTTCATCGCTAATATATAATGTTCTCCAATGCCTTCCAGAAACACAATCAAAAGCTTTATAAAAGTCTACCTTAAACACAAAGCCTTTCAGACCACCCTTCTTTGCTGCCTGAATAGTTTCAGAAGCAATCAAGATACCATCTAATATTTGTCTCCCCTTAATAAAAGCAATTTGATGTTTTCCAATGATAGCAAAGGCTTAGGATCTTTGCTATTAGTTTATATCCGCAACCCAGTAAAGTAATTGGACGATAATCCTCAAAAGTATTTGGGCAAGCCTCTTTAGGTATTAATGTTGCCCTAAAGCCCTGCGGCATAACCGATGAATGCTGAAAGGTATTTATGAGCTCCACCATCCGAGCCAGGGGCTTTATTACCATCACATGACATTACTGCCTCATATATTTCGTCAATGGCAATTGATTTTTCTTCAGAAAGAGACTTGAAGCCAATGCCGTTCAAAGAAGGCCAGTGCCCCTTATCTTCAGCAAAGTGATGAGAGAAAAACTGTTGAGTTGCTTTACCCCTGACGGGCCTACTCAGATTGAATCATTCCATTTCCAACTCACTTCTGTAATGTGATTCTTTGTTTGGGGAATTTTAGTTGAGGTGTGAAAATACCTCGTATTTCTATCCCCTTCTTTGGTCCATAAGTCTCGGGTTTTTTGGCGTCATGCACTTTCTTCACTAGCATATGCCTGCCATAACTTTGATCTAGCATTCCACATGTCTCTCGCTAAAATATGATTTTATGCATCTTCTTCAATGGACCTTTCCAGAGCTTCCACCTCCTTTTTAGCCTTATCAATCTCTTCATCGTATGCTCCACTGTTATATCAATTCCAAGCTTTAATAACTCCTTTGATATTTTTCAATCTCTCCTCCAAATTCTTCGCTCTAAAAACTGAACTTTCCGGAGCCTTCCAGTACTTTTCTATCAACCTTACAAAACCCTCGTCTAAGAGCGAGTGATCGAAGCAACGGAAGGGTTTAGGTCCCAGTTTACCACCGAAATTTCTAACCCTCGTTCATACGTTGTTGTATGAAAAAAAATATATTGGGTTTTATAAAAAAAAAAATATATATTTAAGAAATATTATAAAAATAATACATAAATAAATCACTTGAAAAATGTGATTAGTGTTTTCCAAAAATAATTTTGTTAATTCGGTTAGAATTTTGTATTTTTAGAAATAAAAAAATCAAACTTATCAATTTTAATCAACACCTCATCTATTGAAGTATTATTATTATTATTATTATTATTTCTGAATGTGTGATTTGGAAAGTACTTAATTACAAATGTTCTAATTTCTGAAAATTAATGTTTCCAAATAAAATATATCTAACGTATTTAACTTTTTATTAATTAATTATCATTCAATTATTTTTTTTTTGGAATATCTAAATTACTCTCCATTCCAATCAACCGTTGGATTATCAACAAAATCGACTGGATGGATGAAAAAAAAAAATCAGAATACTCTTTATTATGTTATAAGTTATAACGTCAGAAGATACTATAATCTACTTTAATTATACGTGGTGAGTACTGATTTGACCTAATCAACACTTGTTCTATATTATTTGAGCATAATTTTTTTTTAAAAGAAAATATCACATAAAATATCTCTTTTATCGCACAAAATATTATGTGAAAAAATATATTTTACGAATTCTAAAACTCAAAATAATCTCTAAATGAGCCTTTTTTTTTTAATTATTTAGAAAATTCATTTCTTTGAAAAATATCAAAAATAAAAATATCCTATTTATTAAAAATGTTGTAATTTAAAACTTAATTATTGTTATATATATATATATATTAATTTGGATTGAATTTGAAAGTTTGTATTATTTTAATAATTAGTAGAAATATATAAGATAATTTTAATATTTTTGTCTCTGGTGCATTATGTGTAAATTATTATATAAGTAATGATAATATTAGTATATAACTATTTTTACTATAATAAAAAATATATACTTTACTAATAAAAATGATAATTTAATTTGGAATAGGAGAGTATATCACATTGTAATCATTTTCAAATATATATTTGTAACATAGAGTATTTATCTTTAGGATAAATGTATTCTTTTGAATTTTTGTAGTAAGTTAAAAATAATATTAACATTTTGTTAATTAATGAAAATATGCAATATGATTTTGATATTTTTTCATTACTGCTATATTTATAATATATGTAAAAATCAAGAGTATTTTTATATTAGTATTTAATTATTTTGACTCTATGAGAATGATATGAATATTATAAAAAATATACTTTCAACTAGGATAAATGAAGTATGATTTATACTACCTCCTCCGTTTCACATACCGTGTCTGCTACACTGTAGACACGGTATTTTAGGAGGAATGTAATTAGTAGATAATTAAGAATGCATTAGTAAAAATAATTATCCTATAAAATAAATAATTATAAATTAAGATTAAGATAACTAATTAGTTTAATTAAAATTTTAAAAAAAAATTAAAAAATTTAAAATGAGATTAAAGTGTGTAATCATTTTCCAAAAAAGGAAAGTGACATGGTATGTGGGACGGTCAGAAATGACAACGTGGACATGATACGTGAGACGGAGGGAGTATTATATAAAATGAGTGTGTTTATTTAATGTTTTAGTTTGAAATGTTTGTTACACGAAATATGAATATGTTAGAGAATATAAAAAATAATATATTGTTTTGAATTGTTGAAATTTTGTCGGATAATAAAAAATATATATTATTTATATTATGTGAATATGTATATATACTCTGTTGTAAGAGTTTCATTTATCTTTTGCATTATTGTATTTAACATTAAAAATATTATTATATTTGTATAATTTTTTTTTTCACAAATGTCACAATAATATTATATAAGACATTAATAGAAGTATTTTTTTCTTAATTTGTACTGTATTTTCATATAATAATTAATATTCAAATATCAATATGTAAAAAATAAATGAGACCCTTAGATCCAGACGGATATAAGATTGTATTTTTATTAATATTTATCTAAAATTATATCAAAAAAAATAAATTAAGTGAACAAATCCTTTATTTTTACAAATAATATATATCACATTAAATTATTTTGTATATGATTATTTTTTAGATATTTTTATATTCTTATGTGTTTATTTGTAAGATTTTGGTTTTGAATAGTATAATTTTGAATTGAAATAATTGTTTAATGTGATATAAATATATATTGATGTGATATTTTGAATGTAAAATTAAATTTTAGTGTAATATAATAAATAAAAAATAAAATTTTGATGTGATAAAAAAAAGATTATTGAAACATTAAAACCAAAATCAAATTGCACAAGTAAACATACTTTTTTATGTTTTTATACTACACATTAGAGTTATTTGATTGTAGTTGTAATATAGATAATATTTTATAAAATATAATACTCATTTGGTCCCGGTCCTATTTATTGTAACACATTTTTATTTTCGTTTGTTCATTTATTTTGTCATTTTCATACATTTTAATTTTGTTTTAATATTTTAATTATAATTTTTAATTTCAATTAAACTTATTAACTATTTTCATATATAATTATTTTTATAATACAATAACTATTTTTTGCTGATATAATAAAAACAGAAAGATAAATATTTATTAAAAAGTAGTGGCAAACTCATTTATAGTTGGTTTGAAAAGCTCCTCTATGATATATAACTCTGGGTTTTATGTATTTTGAAAATATTATATTTTCCAAAAATTTAGCTGTGAGATTTATGGGTGTGTCTGTTTTGTGTTTTTGGTTTAAAAAGTTATTTTTTTATTTAAGATATAGAGAATTATATAGATTATATTTCCTCTATCTTATATAATTTGTTCTTATTTTTTATTTTTGTCCCAATAAACTTGTTTTTTTTTTTTTTTAAATATAATTATACGCTTTAATTATATTTTAAATTTAAATATTATATTTTTTTAATCTTAATTATATTATTTTATTATTTTAATTTTAATTTATAATATTGTTACTATACAATAATTATTTTTACTAATAAATATTATAATTACTTACTAATCATAATTTACGTAAATAAATTCTAATGTCTACACTAACACGCCCAAATTACCTAGGATGAGGGAGTATAAAATGTTAATTTTTTTTAAAAAATATATTAATATATTTTGTATAAAAAAACAAAGATTTAATTAACATAATTAAATAATTTAATTAAAATTAAAAAAATTATATATTATAAATTTTAAAATATAATTAAAATATATAATTATATTTAAAAAAATTGATGAGAAAAATAAAAACTATGAATATTTTATATAAAAAAAAAGGAAAAAAAAAAAGAGAAAAAAAGAATGGAGGACAATAAAACCAAAGCAAAAGAAAAACAAAATACCTCGTTTAAATAAAGGTCGATAGGGATCGGGCGAACAAACGTACTCCTGGCCTTTTCTAAATTTCATTTTCAGGTCTCTTCTCCACCTAACCTACTCGCCACCGCATCGCTTTTCCTCGCTCTCCGTCCAAAAGCCTATTGGCCGTCCGATCGACGCTCCTACCGGGATCAATGGCTCAGATTACTCCCCGTTCCACCCTCTTCCTAAAGCCCATCTCCGCCGCGATTTCCGCCACGCGCCATCTCAGCACCGCCTCCGCCGCGCCGATTACCGTCGAGACCAATCTCCCCTTCGCCAGCCACATCGTAGATCCTCCGTCCCGCTCCGTCGAGACCACTCCTCAGGAACTGCTCACCTTCTTCCGCGACATGTCTGTGATGCGTCGGATGGAGATAGCCTCCGATTCGCTCTATAAGGGGAAACTCATCCGCGGATTCTGCCACCTCTACGATGGGCAGGAAGCCGTCGCTGTGGGAATGGAGGCCGCGATTACCAGAAAGGATTGCATAATCACCGCTTATCGCGATCACTGTATTTATTTGGCTCGTGGGGGAACACTTTTGGAGTCCTTTGCGGAGCTTATGGGGAGGAAGGACGGTTGCTCCAAAGGGAAGGGAGGTTCGATGCACTTCTATAAGAAGGAAAATGGATTCTACGGCGGGCATGGAATTGTTGGCGCGCAGATTCCCTTAGGGATTGGATTGGCTTTTGCACAGAAGTATAAAAAGGATGAGACTGTCACCTTCGCCATGTACGGAGATGGTGCCGCCAATCAAGGACAGCTGTTTGAAGCTCTGAATATGGCCGCACTTTGGGATCTGCCTGCAATTTTGGTCTGCGAGAATAATCACTGTAAGTCATTAACTTGGGTATTCTCTTAACAGTGTTTTGTGAATCATGGAATGCTTAAAGTCTGTCAGCTATCACAGATTGTTTCTTACATGAAAATGTTTGAGATGTATAAGTTTTGCGTTTTGATTCAATGTTTGTAGGGATTAGAATTTCACAATGATGCTATGCAAATTTATCTCTCTAACAAATTTCACAAGTAGTTTGATTTATGCCTTTTATTTAAGATATTAGCCTATCAAATCTCTTATGATTGAATAAATCTATATACTTGTCTATATTGCAATAAAAAAAAGTATTGTTCATACCAACACTTGCTCGTGGATCTTGAATTTGCTTAATTGACTGGTATATAGATGGAATGGGCACGGCAGAATGGAGAGCGGCAAAGAGTCCGGCTTATTACAAGCGAGGTGACTATGTTCCAGGATTGAAGGTCAGTTGGCTTCTCCTCATTCATTAACGTTGATTGGCATTTATTTAATTCATATACTTTTGTTCCGAGCATTTTCTGTACTTAGTTTTATGCATGGAATTATCTCAGCATTGATCATTTTGAATATGATACGAAATGCTAATCAATGAATCGAGGTTAGTGTTACTATTTTCTTGGGATATCTTCCCTATGCTCTAAAGTTTTTATGTTTGAGAATTCAAAATTATTTCTTTTGGTTACGATTTTTTTACTCGAATTTATGAAGTTCAGATGGCAAGAGTTTGAAAAGTGATGCTTCTGCGGCAATTAAGTTTTACTAGAGGAAATAATATTCCGGTTACGTGATTTCAGATTTTTCATGTTGGAAAGTTTGGTAAAAGTATATGAACAAACAAATGTAAATTTCTTCAAGTATTATTCAGCTACCACTTTAACAAAAAATTGATTTTCAATCCTGTGTTTGAACTGGGTGAATTTGTTTGTGTTTTCTGAGTCTAGAGTTATCCTAACTCCTCTGTTATTTTGTTTTGTTGGATCATGAATTTGAATTGAAGAAATTAGTTCCATAGCTTTCTGTTTCATGACATGTATTCATTGTTTATTTGTACGGTAATACAGGTTGATGGAATGGACGTACTGGCAGTGAAGCAGGCGTGCAAGTTTGCTAAAGAACATGCATTAAAGAATGGACCTATTGTAAGTTCTTAGTAAATGTATCTTATGCTTTTGGAATTATTTATCCATGGTTGCCTCTGTAGGTATATGCATATGGACATATCTATAAATATGTAGGCCATTTTTCGTTCTAACCTGACCACCTGTTTTATTGTTTCTTGTGAGTAACAACCTTTTCCAGAGTTGATTGGTAGATTAACTGTTAAGAGCTTTGAAATGTGCAAACGAAAAAACAAGGATGCATCGTAGGGTCTTGTCTGATACTGTGTAGTTGATGCATTATTGCAAGGAATAAGATTTCTGATTTGTCTTTGGCTTGCATACCACTAGTTAAATAGGAATAGGCAATATATTACATGGGAAATTGATATGCTAAATTTATTTCGAAAATTGTGTTGTTGATCAATGTAAGAAAATCTGCTGAACCTTGTAAAAAATTTGCTGAATCATGTATAAAAATGTTGAACGATATAAAACATTAGCATGGTACTGCAATCATTGCTTGAATATGTTGAACCTATGCTGTAAATCTGTTGGAACGGCAAATAAAAGAGAAAAAGAATATCAAAAGAAAAAACTAACAATGATGTAAATATGTTAAACCACATTAAAAAATGTTGAATGACATACAAATATACAGAATTGCATTATTCGTCAGTCTATTGATTTGGCAGTGCAGAATATTGATTGATCCCTACTTTTTTCTGCAATGGATCCAGTTTGTTATTACAGAATTGTTCTTGCTTTATTTGATTTGTGGCTAATAATAATGAACTTATTGTTGTTTGTTTACTGAATACCTCATGGTGTCGCTGCTTTGTTTGCTCTTTCCCTACGACCTGTGTATTTGTGTTTTGAGTTATGAGAATTATTGTTGATTTAAGTACATATCCTTTCATGGTGTTCAAGCCTCACGCTACTAGCAGTCATTTTATGAGAACTTACAGTTTTCTTATATGCAATAGTCAGTGAATGCATTTTTCAATGTACTTTGTGGTTGAGTCAATCTTTGTTTTAACCACCAAAACCTTCTTTGATTTTGTTCAGATCCTTGAAATGGACACCTACAGGTACCACGGACACTCCATGTCTGACCCTGGAAGCACATACCGGACACGTGATGAAATTAGCGGTGTTAGACAGGTGAATATGGTTTGCAATAGCATCTCTCTCTCCATAGACAAAACATGTGTGCGTCTGTGTTGTATATTCAACTCCATTCTCCTTATTACAGGAACGTGATCCGATTGAAAGAGTCAGGAAGCTTATACTATCTCATGATTTAGCCACTGAAAAGGAATTAAAGGTAATAAATCCCTCAAGAGTACAAGTTGGCTGGCTGTATATTATTCAGTTAAATAATTCTATCAAATGACGAGATTATCCAATCCTATCCACTTTCGATATTAGGACACTGAGAAAGAAGTGAGGAAAGAGGTGGATGAAGTGGTAGCAAAAGCCAAGGTTAGCAAAATTCAGACACCATTGTTATATAATACTTGAAGTAAATATAAAATACCACCAAATTACGATTGATTCATTGTATATTCGTTTTTGCAGGAGAGCCCACAACCCGATCCATCTGAGCTTTTTACCAACGTCTACGTGAAGGGCTTTGGAGTTGAGGTACAACAAATTTACGTACATATCCATTATTTCCAACTTCCCACCTCGCCCCGCTTCACTATAACGATTTCTTGATGCTGGCTGCAGTGCTATGGAGCTGATAGAAAAGAAGTGAGAACTGTCCTTCCATGAGACAACAAATCATCTTCATCGAACATGCTTTGTCCCAAGACTAACAGGTAATAAAACAAAATGAGCATCTCATTTCTTGGTAAGAATCTCTAGAAATAACTCAGCACCCAACCTGTTGTCGCTGTTAGTGTCTTATTTTGTGAAGAGTAATTTTTTGGCAAGGCGATGCGATGCATCAATGCCCTTAAGGGGAGGTTTGAGATACTTTCTCTATTTTTTTTGTATTTTTCTATATATATTTTGTTGTCTCTCCTTCCTTCATCACATATATAATAAATTATTATAGTGTGTTTGATATGAGTGAGTTATGAAATAATTGATTTGAGTTTTGATATTAAAATAATATTTAATGAAATATTTAAAATAATGTATAGTCCAAAGAAACAATAATTGGGGCCCTTGTATAACAGATAGTGACACGTGTCTAAATCAGATAGTAGTCTATTTGCGTGGGTGGTTGGGGGTGTCTCTCCGGCCAACGGCAGTTTATGAGAGGGAAAGCATGCTTAGTTAGGGTATGTTTCTTCGACAAAAATTTAGTTTAAGTTTTACATTAAATTAAATTAATGTACGATGAAATGTTTTGTAAAAAAAATAAATGAATTTTTTTTTGAAAATGCGGAAACAAACTCAATGTTAGCTCATTGTTTAGCTTTGCTTAGCTTAGCTATAAGATAATATTTATTATATATTATAAATTTATGAGTCGTATTTTTATTATATTAACATAAATTGTATCATATTCAATGGGCTAGTTTGAGGTTTTGTAGGAGAATAAAAAATAATACTAGCTATGTTCTTTAACAATCTATCTATTTTTTTTTTTATTTTAATTCGTCCGATTGCAAAGTATCTTTTTTTTTTAATAAATATATTTTTTATTAATATTACAAATACTCTTATAACTTATAACTAATAAGGTTGTTTTAGTCTTTTTCTATTTTATTCATACTACACTTCAATATAAAACTAATATTTCTAAACTTCGTGCAAAAAATAAATAGATACATAGATAATATAGATAAGAGACGGAGGAAGTAGTACTTTATTGGTTAGTAGAAGTGTGCAAAAGTTTTTAATGTTTTTGTTTTTTTAACTTTATGTATAAAGTAATTGTAAGTGTAAATTGAGATTTATTCACCGCGGTAACTGCAACAGAGATTGTTTGAGAGTTTTGGAATTTGAATAGTAAAAAATTTGAATTTGAATAGTTGTATGATGTGATATAAATAGGTGTTGATGTGATGTTTTGAACGTAAAATTGATGTTTAGTATAATATAAAAAATAAAGAATAAGTGTTTGATTTAATATTTTTTGAGAAAAAAATAGAATAAATAGTGTATTTTAAATTCAATCCCCCAAACAAACGCATCTACATCTGATGGTATAATATTTTTATCATCATTTTTTTCTACACTAAAAAGCCTACATGTTAACATAGGGGTAACAACAGCACATCTAACACCCTTAGAGCAACCACAATGGTTTGTTGTTAAAGAAGCCTCTAAATGTATTATATATTTTACGTATTCAAATTTTTTATATCCAAATGTGTTAGAATGTAAAAAAATTTGCACAATGGTTGAAAGAGAAAGACAGGTGAGAAGAAGATTGAGAAAAATACATATATAGAGGGGAGAAGAGGAAAAGTGTGTGAAAAGAAGAGAGAGAAAAATACATACAAAGGGAAGAAGAGAGAACGCGAGGGAGGGAGAAGAAAAGAGAGAAAGACCAAAAAAAATAAAGTGAGAGAGAGAAGGTAATTTGAAGACGGCTTCTATCGTACCGGCGGCCTGCACCAAAGTATAATTTTTTTCATCTAACAAAAGGTCATTATATTAGATTCTATTATATATATTAAAAAAGCTTCTACACTGACACAAAATATCTGGATAAAACCATCATTGCAATTACCCTTAGACCACCCGCAATGCTAAGATAACATCATTATTTAAAAAAATAATAATAAAGAAAACAAGAGACATTGTATTTAAAGACATTGGACATGAGTGTCACTGGAGATTTAAATATATATATATATTTTTTTTTATGTTACGTGTCTCAATTTAATTAGGACACATAGTATATTATATATATATATTATATGTATATAAAATAGTTTTTTTAATTTTGTATAAAATTGTTATTATATTTAAAATTTGTAATATTTTTATAATTTATAATTTTTTTTTTACAAAATAATATCAATATTGGATATATTTTATTAATTTAAAATTTTAGAATATATAAATACAAACATATTTAGTATTATTAAATAAATCAATATTAATAAAAATAGTTTCATTTTATTGAATAAAATATGATTATAAAATTTAACATAATTAAATAGTATAGAATTATATTAAACAATAAAATATATTTAGTTTATAGTTAATTATACATACATAATTAATAATAAGATATTAATATAAAAAAAATACAAGTTAATTTGAATAACATAGAACAAATACATATAATCTAAACAAATATTTAAAACAATTTTTCGAACAATTTAATTTTAACAAGTAGATCTTACTCTGTCAAATTATCTTTCTCCACTAGTGTTTGATAGAGTTATATTTGCAATACACTAGTTACTTTTGATTTTTTCCTTCCTTCAATTGTATTATGCGAGCGAATGTGATGCAATTTTTTTACTTTGAGCTTGTAGCTCTTTAAAGTTATCATCGACAGGGCTCTTAGCAGGTGTCTCGTACTCTGACTTTCTGAAAAGCTGTAACTCTGCCTTTACCTTAACTTTACGAAAGCATCCTCATCCTCCAGAATTGCAGCCGAGCGAAGCTCATCGGAAGAAAGTGAATTTGAAGATTTCTTCAGTGCCCATTTGTCTTTATTTTTACACGTTGCTTCATGATCAACATTTGTATCATGATGACTAGTACTCCATTTTGGCTCAAGTTTAATTCACGTCAAGTGTGTTGATAAATAAATGCTTTCCTGCCAATCTGCAGAATATATTTGATGTGCTTTATTCAAGAAATTATCAATAAATTCTTCACTCATCCTTTGTTGGTTAGCTTGTTGAAAGCACCCAAAAAATTTTGAAACGGCTTGATTTATCTTTTGCCAATGATTCTTGCATTGGTTTTCATTTCTTGATACCCATGCTTCGGATTTGTTATCATTAAATATGGAACTTTTTAACTTTTTTAAATTTATTGTCATATCACATCACAATATATATATTTTTTATCATTGTAGTATTGATCAATCATTTCAAGTTTTGTCTTGTTGAACTTTATTAATTGTATTGTTAAATTACATCGAGTTTATTATTGCACTAGATAGCTTTGAATGCATTTGCATTGTTAGATCATATCATAGTTTATTATTATACTAGATCGCTTTAAACACACTTGCATTGTTAAATCACATCATAATTTATCATTGTACTAAATAGCCTTGAACAGACTTGTATTGTTATATCACATCATAATTTATCATGTACTAAATAGCTTCGAACACACTTGCATTTTTATATCACATCATTATTACGTGTCATTAAATTTATTTTCAATTATTTTATTATTGTACTGCTTTTTTATATATTTTTAAATATATTTTTTTATTATTATTTCACATTATTATATTATTATTATTATTATTATTATTTATTTCATATAATGTAAACTATAAATACTCTGTATTGGTAAAAGCTTTACACTACTCTTCACTTTAAAAAAATATTTGTAACAAACAGTTTTGTTACAAAATTGTCAAATTCATCTAAAACTATTTCGAGTTCAAACTCCGATAAGAATGATGTGTTTTTTTTTTTTTTTTTCAATTTGTGGATGCAATTTCAACGTCTTCAAGATGTTATCACTAACCACAAAGAGGAAAATCAATTTTTCCGAAGAACATACATTGAGAGAAATTGTGAAGGTCATAATCGTTTGTTGAACGATTATTTTTCTGAAAATCCTGTCTATATAGATTTTTAATTTTGTCGTAAATTTCAAATGAAGAGGCATGTCTTTCTGCACATTCTATATAGTTTAACAACAGAAATTGAGTTCTTTCAACAACGTCGCAATGCAACGGGAAGACTTGGTTTATCGCTATTACAAATATGCACACTTGCTTTGCGTGTGTTGACTTTTGGTGTAGCTGCTGATATTTGTAGATGATTATATTCGTATTCGAGATAGTACAACAAGAACATGTATAAAAAAATTGTTGAATTAGTCATTTCAATATTTGGTGAGAAATATTTAAGAAGACTAGTGTGCTTGTTTGGGGGATTGAATTGGATTTACACTATTCATCCAATTTTTCCCCCCAAAAATATCAAATCAAACACCTATTTTTCATTTCTTATATTATACTAAAAATCAATTTTACATTCAAAACATCACATCAACACCTATTTATATCACATCCTATAACTATTCAAATTCAAAATTTTTACTATTCAAATCCTAACTCAAAATTCAAACCCCCAAACAAACCTACAACGATTGTTGTATGTTGCAGAAGAATGTAGTTTTCCAAGAATGATGAGAAATATTGATTGCATGGACTGAGAGTGAAAAAATTATCCAACTGTTTGGAAGACCAATTTTCACGTGAAGATCATGGCAAACCAACTATCATATTAGAAGCTGTAATATTGTATGATCTATGAATTTGACATTCTTTTTTTGGAGCACCAGATACATACAATGATATTAATGTACTTGATTAATCTTCGATTTTTAATGACCTGTTGAATGGTAGAAGTTCAGAAGTAAATTTTATTGTCAATGATCATCAATATAGTATGGGATATTATCTTACTAAAATGTAGAAAAAATTGCCGATGGAAAGAAATTATAATGGAAAGAGAATTGCAGATGGCCTTGTGGTTCCAATACATCTCTCTACAAACATATTCAATTATATTTATTAAAACTAGCACAATTTGAAATACAAACAAACGGCTAGTTTATACATTGCTTATACAAATTCTTATAACTAGTCTTGAAGTAAATAAATAATTACTTACATGTTCTATCAGTGGAACATATTAACTACTCAATTAACCGTACATATTTACAAGAAAGTAGTCTTTAAGGAATAACCTGGTGGTATGGGGGTGGAGTCGTGACCGTGAGGTCATATGGATCACCTAGTGTAATTTGTCTTATCGGACCTAGTTTGCATACTATTAGGTTCGGTCGGGATTTACCTAGAGTGCATTCGTCAAGTAGCGGCTGCGTGTTCTCACGTTATCAAAAAAACTAAAAAAACAAAAAACAAAGAAGAAAATAAGAAAACAATGACATATTTAACA